CAATGCTTACGATAACTTTGTTGTCATGTTTTAGTGGTTACTGGAGAGTGACTAAAGGCTCGGCGTTTATCCAGACATCGAAATCATCGGACGAATTTACACTCGATGTGAATGAGATCACCGCCGGTGACAAGTTCTCGTACAGCTGTTCCCAATTAAAGATTGCGTCCAAGAATAGTATGACTTTTTTCTAAACATTTTTATTGTGATAAATATTTGATGTTTTGGTTCTGTTTTGTAATTTAGCCTCAAATTCGGCCCAAATTCGTCTCAAATTCAGTGAATTTCAATTACAGCCGTTTGAGAATCCGGTGAACAAGAAAATAGTATTCACTTCCAGCGAGAGCTGTGAAGTGTGGATGACTTTACCACTTTGGATGGGATTAATTACATTGTCTTTGTTGACAGTAATCCTATTGCTTGGTCTGTATTTGCTATATAGAGTCGCAACGCCCGACCGGTTTGAGAATCCAAAGGGAAAGCCATTGATTGTGGCCGCGGCTGACGAACAATAGTCATCTGTTTTAAATGCAACTATAATTGTCTCACATATGAGACGCCAATAATGTATTAATACTCTCATCTCCGGTACTAATAAGTCAATACTATATTAATCTCAAATGTCTTATGAATCTCAATGTATTGTGTGATTACTTGATCTCAACTTTTAATTTGTTATTTATTTGTAAATAAATAAGAGTTTTACCTCTTTTGTAGATAATTATCAAACTTATGAATTAAAATTCAATCAAATGTTTTATTTAAAAAATAACGAAATAATAAAATTAAATATAATTTAAATCAAAATTAAATGAACTAAAGATTATTTGCTTTTCATATGAAATGTGTTCACTGGAAGTGCTTGACTATTGAGTCGGACTTGCTTTCCCTGTCGGTCTCTGTTTGGAGTTTTCTTTTTTTGGCTATATTTATAAATTGAGTGCAAGAAAAACATGTGATTCAAAGGAATTGTATTGAATTTGGCTTACGTTTGATGGTTTCATCGCTTTCATACGTTTCCGACTCTTCGTGAACACCAGTGGTCTCTAAATTGATTGTATTATTGGTTAGAGCCTTAAATTCGACGGTATTCCGGACGCCAAACACGATGAAGAATGCCATACGAATGAGTCCACTCCATAGCACACACATCGTTAGACTCAACACCAGAGTCAATATGAAGAGAATGAATATATAGACACTTTTGGCCCAATCATTGCTTCCAAACCAATCAATCTTTGAGTTTTTATCGCTAATTAGTTTCAATGGCGGACTAAACAGTAACGCAATGATCGATATAGCGATCAAATAAGTTAGATATAAACGTCGGGCATGTTTTCGCCATCCAATGAGATCTCGTTTGGTTTTGTCGTAATTTCTCTCCAATTTAAAAGTATATCTGTAGAGAAAGGCCAAGAAATTGGTCACATTGTAGGCCAAAATGCTGGACAAAATGGATGTTAAGCCGAGAACTCCATAATCGTATTCGGCTGTAATACTGTATGGTTTCAAGACGTTTGCGATACATTTGTTGAATGAGAAAACACAGTTGATTAAGAAGAAGACAAATATGACAACTTCGATGAAATCCATGGGCGGGTATAGAGTCGTGCCGTATGTCTTATATACAGGCAAACTGAGTGTCAAACACAAAATAGTTTATGAGAATCGAAATGACAATTGGATTACAATTTCTTACCATTTAATATAATTCATTGGATTTCTATCCGAATCGGTGCTAAAGATTGGAACCAAGAGTTGGGCCCACAATGACTGAACTGATGGCCGTATAACGGGTCTGAGGGGCGCGGCCTCGAGAGCTGTCCGATTAATATAAGAGCCGATCGTATAGTAGATTGAATGACCGAAAGTCTTATCCGTCACTCGTATGCCATAGATATAGACGTCGTCAAAGTCGGTGCGATTGTTATGCATCGCCCGAACCGAACAAATAGGTCTCAACCCTTTCTTTCTGGTCAACAGGAAGTGTGCCCTTCCGTCCACTATATCTTTGACCAAAATACTGAACGACAGGATTTTGATGCCCTGTTTGGTCACTAAATCGATATAAACTCGCGTTTTGTTCTCGAGTTGTGATTTGTATAAATATACTGTTATTATATACTGCGATAGATTGGGGTCTTCGTCCTCTGGACCCGTATCCCGACCGAAGATTTGTCTCATCTGTTCCGGACATACCGTACCGCACGTCCACTTGAGGATCACGTATAAGATATACCCGACACACATATAGCCAGCGGCTAATAATT